AATAACTTTCATTAGGTCGCTGCGTTTCAAAGACAAACACCCATTTATTCACATCTTTAATATATTTGCTGATCAAACGAAGCACAGGGCAGTCGATAAAAGACTCACAACTCCTAAGTACTTTTCAGGAACACGAAGAGCTCATCTAAAAACAATTTTCTGCGGCATGTTTTTTCTACTATACATTCACTTTTCAATGAAGTCTTTGCACTGGGGTAATGAGCAAAGAAAAACACTGTCAACACATTCAGGAATGAACAGGGATTAATTGGAGACAATTTAAAAAAAAAAAAAAAAAAAAAATTTAGACAACAGTGAAACTATCTGATAAAAGCTGATATGTTTTCCAAGCTGCAACTCAGACGCCAGGAGTATAATTCTCCTTGGCCGTGGAGATTTAAAGAATACAGTCAGTAATAAATGCAACATTTTTAGATTTCAAGAGTTCTCACAGTAACGTCACTGTCACACGTAAAAAGCAACAACAGATGAGGAAACGGAGCTCTCAGCTTATCAGTCAGGCAGCCTCGGCTGGATTTGTGTGTGTGTGTGTGTCCTGTCTTAAATGGACCCAGCTCTGTTTTTGTCCTCGTCAGTTTTCAATTATGCTGGTGTTTCTGGACTCCTCTCTGTGACATCATCTGCAAGAAACTTGCTTTTAGTCTTTTTGAGCCACTTGTCCACAACAAGACCTCCTCTTTCTTAAGTGTCCGTGAAGTGGTCTCTTTGGAAATGTGGCAGGAGTGGAGAAGTCCATATGTGGCTGTATGGGCTCAGAGCTCAGGATCCCGGAAAACAAAACAACAAAATACTGGAAAATGAAATGAAAGAGTTTTATGCTGACACAGGAGTATTTAACTAAAAACAATACAAATAAAACCCTGCCACAACACAAAGTTTACCACCGGCAAGAGAAGGCATCAAACATGCATTAGTCTGAAGGTGGAAAATGGCTTTGGACAAGGCAGCAAATAAATGGCGAGGAAGAGGCGGGGGGGATGGACACTGGAGAAGCCTGGACACTCTTTGGCTGAGGCGGTTACACACACAGAGCTCTGGGGCAGCTGGGAGAAGAGAAAAAGAATTTAAGTGACACAATTATTTATAGAAAAAACAAGTACTGCACAGCACATATTACAGTAAAGGAAACCCGGCGTTCAATAAGCAGTCTCACCTGTCCTCAGTGAAGCCATCCATTTCCTCTTCATCGTCCAGCTCCATGTCCAGCTCATTGTCGAGGGTGCCGCGGCCATAACCGCTCAGGACGCTGCAGAAAGATTATCACGATCAGACCCCCTTGTGTCACTATGTGTGCATTCAACCTGGGATACTTTAACTGGAACAAGTTACGTTGGGTGAGTGCTGAGTGTTTGTATATGTGTGCATGAGGGTGGGAATGCATGTTTGTGTCTGTGTGTGCCTGTGTCTATATGTCAGGTCGGGTCTTACACTCCACCTCTCTGGGAACTCCCAGGCCTATCTCCCCTCACCACACTCCCTGCCGGTGACTGATGCCCTCAGGGGTCGGTGCATTGGTGGTTCTTGGT